GGGAATTTGTTGGTACAGTGCAAGTTGGGCTTGAGAATCGTGGAGCCTTGATTTAGCAGTGATTTTAGAGTACCTGATTTGGGCAAGTGCACCTGGTTTGAGGTACGTGTAAAATGATGGTGCTGAAGAAGATGTTTTCCTGATAATGGGTTTCATTTTTGGGCACAGAGAAGTTGTGGGGATTTTGGCAGTCAGTAGAAACCCTAGTGGAATTTGGGAGAATAGAATGAGTGGGGAGATGGGGTTTGAAATAAGGAGGTTGAAGGAGCGGGAAATTAGTGGCGCGGGAGAAAATTATTATTAGTCCTCAATACTTACTTTGAAAAATCCCCTCCAAAAGCCTCGAAAGGTTTTATCGCTCCGCCATAATTTTTTTCTTTTTAGTTGTATGACTCTTTGATTATAATTAGTCATAGGAAATCATATACTCTTGTTTTTTCTTTTGTTTGGATAAATTTATATTAAGTATTTTTTTAACTTTGGCAACATCAAAAGTACTTTACACCAAAAGTCAATTTATAATTTGATTAATGTTTTATTATTTTATTTTTAATATCTTTTATAATCCTCGAAATATGCTTTCTAAAACAAAACCCTTAACTCTCTCTCCATTTCATTTTTGTCATTCGTCCTTTTTATGTCACAACAACGATAAATTCAAACAGTACTCTTATTTCGATAAACAACCTTAAGTCATTGCGCTCATTTTAAGAGAAAAAGTGTTCGGCATGTTTTACCAACTACACTCACTACTTGGTATCTATGTCAATATTTATTTAATTAAAAAAATAAAATAAATATCACTAATAATTTATTTGAGTTATAAATTAAAAATTTTAAAAAAAAGTTATTAAGAATGATTAACATTGATAATATTTAGTTAGATCCACAAAGGAAGAAATTATGTCATAAAGAAATTCAAGGTACATTTTACAAATGGTCATATAACTATGACTTTTTTCACCAAAGTCATCTAACTTTTTTTTCTCACACAAAAATCATAAAAACTTTCACTAACTCACACAAAAATCATAATGACCCGGTAGTATTTTCTTCTTTCACGTTTTATCATTTTTTATTTTCAGTCTAATAAATAATAATCCAATTAAAATATGAGGAAGTTAGCACCTCAAGGCCACTTGATCTCCTCCATATGGATGTGTGTGGACCTATGAGGGTGCCAAGTAGAGGAGGAAAGAAGTACATTTTTGTTATAATGGATGACTATTCTAGATTAACCTGGACCTTGTTCCTCAGAACCAAGGATGAAACTTTTTCAGTATTTGTTGCCTTAGTGAAGAAGATCCAAGTGAAGTTAAGCCACAATGTTGTGTGTATAAGATCTGATCACGGCACAAAGTTCGATAATGCAAAATTCGATGAATTATGTGCTGAAAATGGCATAAGTCATAATTTTTCAGCTCCAAGAACACCTCAACAAAATGGTGTTGTGGAGAGAAAAATTAAGACTCTTGAAGACATGGCAAGGACAATGCTGATTGACAGTGGCATTGCTAAACATTTCTGGGCAGAAGTAGCTAACATTGCATGCTATTTGGTGAACATATGCATGACCAGGTCCCTCCTGAACAAGACTCCGTATGAACTGCTGAATGGGAGGAAACCCAAGCTAACACATTTGAGAACATTTGGCTGCAAATGTTTTGTCCTCAACAATGGTAAGGAAGCACTTGGAAATTTTGACGCCAAAAGTGATAAAGGAATCTTTCTGGGCTATTCATCACAAAGCAAAGCCTACAAAGTCTACAAAAAAAGAACTCAATATGTTGAGTAAAGCATACATGTGTTCTTTGATGAATCAAACCACTTATGTGAAAAGGATTCATATTATAAGATTGATCAAGACGAAGAGCAGTCAACAGTTCCTGGTGAAGTCATTGACATGGCAAATAGAAAGGCTGACATGATGAGTTACGTCAAGGAATCAAATGATGATGATGCGGCTGTATCTCCAGCTGATGTAGAGGAACCTAGTCCCTCAATCACAACAACTGAAGCTGAGAACAGAGTTGTTGATGCTGTGCAATGAACCTCAGATGTTAAGTTGAGAAACGGGACTCATGTCAACCATGGGGCACATTCAAAAGTACCTGGACCCTCTCACAATGAGATTAAGGTGTCTAACTGGAAGCACAAAAGTTCACACCCTATTAAAAATGTGATCACTCTTCTTGACTTAGGGATTCAAACTAGATCAAAGTCAAGAAACTCACTTGCTTTCTCAGCCTTTCTCTCTCAAGTTGAGCCCAAAATATATCAAGGAAGCATTGAAAGATGCTGACTAGATTAGTGCTATGCAAGATGAACTCCATCAATTTGAGAGGAACAACGTATGGCACTTGGTTCCTCGACCTGCTGACAGAACCGTTATAGGAACCAGGTGGGTATTTAGAAAGAAACTTGATGAGTTTGGAAACACAACAAGGAACAAGGCAAGACTAGTAGTTCAAGGCTACAATCAAGAAGAAGGGATTGACTATGATGAAACTTTTGCTTCAGTTGCTCGAATGGAGGCCATCAAAATCCTCATTGCCTTTGCATCTCATATGGAATTCAAATTGTTCCAAATGGATGTCAAAGTGCATTTCTGAATGGCTTTCTAAAAGAAGAAGTTTTCGTCAAGCAACCACCTGGCTTCGAATGTCATGAGCATCCTGAGCATGTTTTTAAATGCGACAATACCTTATATGGGCTGAAGAAGGCTCCTCATTCATGGTATGAAAGGTTGTCCAAATTTCTCCTAGAAAATGGCTTTACAAGAGAAAAATTGACAATACCTTATTTCTGAAGAAATAGGGGAGGAACCTGCTCATTGTGCAAGTTTATGTTAACGATATCATCTTTGGTGCAATAAATAATTCGTTATGTGAGGAATTTGCAAAGCTCATGGGAAGTGAGTTTGAAATGAGCATGATGGGGGAATTGAATTTCTTCTTGGGCCTGCAAGTCAAGAAAACTCCTAAGGGCACAATGATAAGTCAGCAGAAGTACATCAAAGAGCTTCTGAAGAGATTTAAAATGGAAAGCTCAAAAATCATTGATACTCCTATTGCCACTGCCACTCGTCTAGACATGGATGAACATGGTTCCCCTGTGAACGAGACCATGTACAGAGGCATCATTGGGTCACTCTTGTATCTTACAGCAAGCAGGCCAGATATGATTTTCAGTGTGGGACTATATGCCAGGTTTCAATCAAATCCAAAGGAATCTCATCTCAAGGCTGCCAAGAGGATCCTGAGGTATCTAAAAGGAACGCATGACCTGATTCTCTACTATCCCTCAGGAGACAATTTTGACTTGATCGGGTATGCTGACGCTGATTACGCTGGTTATCTGGTGGATAGGAAACGCACTTCTGGCATGGCACACTTTCTGGGATCGTGTCTAATTTCATGGTGTACAAGAAAACAAAACTCAATGGCTCTTTCAACTGTAGAAGCTGAGTATGTGGAAACTCCCTCTTGTTGTGCTCAATTGTTGTGGATCAAGCAGCAGTTAGAAGATTTTGGCATATTTTCTGATTGTGTGCCATTACTGTGTGATAACACCAATGCTCTCAACATGGCAAAGAACCCAGTTCAGCACAAGAGAACAAAGCATATTGATGTGTGACATCATTTTTTCATAGACAATGTTAAAAAAGGGCTTATCTGCATGAAGTTTTACAGTCCAAAAGAACAAATTGCAGACATCTTCACCAAAGTACTGAGCAGAGAGTACTTTGAAAAGAATCATTTGGCACTTGGGTTGATAAAATCAAGCTGAGAACCTGGTCCCTCGATGATTGGCTATGAAAGAAATGAACAGGTAAAATAGCTAAAAAGTATTTTCTGGCAAGGTCTAACTCATTTCTATACCGTTACAGGTAGACACGCATGGCGATTACAGAGCAAACAAAGAGCTAATGGTATTGCACTTTGGTAAAAGGATGAGGCTCATATTTACATTGTCAGGGAACCTGGTTCCTTTGACACAGGTTAGTAGTTCCTTTGTACTCTCATGCACAACTTTTTAAATGGCTAAAAAAGGTTCCACATTATTAAAATGTTAGTTTCTCCTTTTCCCCTTTTTAGAACCCAAGCGTCCTACCGTTACGAAACGACCCATCTACCTAGAAAATCAATACCCGTTCCTAACCGGTCCCTTGCCCCCCTTTAAATAAACTCAAATGCTGTCACTCTCATACTATTCACATCAAAACCCAAATTTCCCTTTCTCTCAACAACCAAACACTCTCTTCTTCCATAAACTCTCACTACACTCCACCATGTCTGAGAATCTTGAAGCCTCAAATATCCCCAGTATCGTCCCCACTGTGTCTTCATCCCTTGAAGCACCGGTGACAGAGTCTAAGTACCATATGCCACCCAGTCCAAACCCTAAGCAAGATTCCCAACCACCCACTGCCTCTTCTCCAACCCAATCAAGTTTTGGTTCTCATCGAAGTCATAAAACTTCGTATCCCAAGAGGTTTGTGGCTACGACCTCTCCTTCTGCCTCACCGAAAAAATGGCTGAGGGAGAAACAATAGAGGGAGAAGAAAATTAGGAAGTCTGCAGTTGGAAGAGATTTCTAGGCCTCAATTTGAATGTTGTCGATTCTACAAGTAATATTCTTCTTATGCCTTCTGAGTTTACTTTGGGGTTAAAAGAACAAGAGGCCATAGAGAATATATTGTCAATAGCTGCTGAGGGATATTTAGTTTGTGGTTATGAAGGTGTTTATGAAACCAATGGGTCTTAGGGGGAAGGTGATAGTCTACAGGAAGAGAGTAGGGAACTGGTGCCTGTCGAAAATCTAGCACCTAAAAGTACTACTGGGGAACCACATGAGGGACATGATCCCTCCGCCCAAGAGGAGCCCTCTGATCCTACTTGGGATGAAACCCCTTGTTCTTCAAAAGAACCCCAAGTCAGTACTGATCCTGCTCCCTCTCTTAATTTCTATGTCGATCCATTGCCATTGTCTCTCCTGAGATGAGATCTCTGTCTGAGAAAGAGCGTGAGGATAGTGAAGAAGACTATGACAATATGGCTATTGCAAGCTTTATTAGTTCTAGGAGTAGAAGGGCAACTCCCAAAACGCCCACTCCTAAAAGACCTACTACTAGGCTGTAAAAGAAGGAGGCTCTTGAGTCAGCTCTGAAGAAAAATAAGAAAGAAAAGAAGAGAAGAAAGTTGGTGAAGGATGGAAAGTTAGTACATGAAGAGGTAGTGCACTTGTTGTTGACGTTGATGACGAGGTGAGTGAGGAACCCAGTCCCTTAATTCGTAAGTCCTCTAAGAAACCTACTGTTCCAAAATCTGGGAAAGAGTCATCTGTGAGAGTGATGGAGGTTAGTAATGTTGAAGTGGGAGAGTTTGGCGAGAAAGTGGCTGAGGAGTCTGGAGAGAAAGTGTCTGAGAAATCTACAGAGAAAGAGAAAAGTGTGAGAAAATCAGTGAAACAGAAGGCTAGTGCCAATGAGGAACCTGGTTCCTCCAAGAAGGCCAAGGTGGGTGTGGCCAAGAATGAAGGAAGGGAAAATCTGAGAAACCAGAAGGTGTTGTGGGGCAGAACATTTGCCCCTAATATTCTTGACATGACAGGAATGTGCCAACTGGTTGATATATGTGAATTTCAACAGTGGACACATTTGTTCACAAATGAGAGTCTTAAGATGTATGAGGCAGAGGTGTGCAGTTTCTATGCTGACATTTTCACAGTCGAGGATGACAACATCTGCATGAAGGTGAATGGTGTTGACTTTGTGACGGATGAGCCTGTGTTGGGAACCATCTTGGGAGTGCCTACTGACGGAATATCCTCCATTGAGGGGACTTGTTCTTCAAACTTCAGAAATACCATTTTGAAGGATGATGCAGTACAACAGGAGGAATGGGTACACAAGAAGGCCCTCCTTCCAGTGTACCAATTGTTATTCGAGATGGTGAACAAGGTTTTGCTCCCTTGTGCAGAAAGTCGTTCCATTATGTCACGAGAAGACATGTTCCTCATGGAAGCACTCGATGCATACTCCACTATCAATCTGTCGGGTATCATGATTGAGCACATGAAGAAAGTGACATATTTCAAGGATGGTAATCATGGGCTGCCCTACGAGTTTTTACTCACCAAAGTATTTGAGTTCTTCAAAGTCCCTTTGGGAAAGGCTACAGTGGGTACTCGCAAGCAGACCTTCTCCAAGACCACCTTAGAAGAGTGTGAGTGCATCGATAAGAAATGAGGGGTTGGCAGCAATTCGACTATATCTCAACTGATTAAAGCTCAGAATATTACCAATGAAGAGATAAGGAAGTTGAAGGCACGAAATGTTATTCTTGAGGGACAGCTTAGTCAGGCCCAGGAGACACCTAGTTCCAGCAGCACACAAGGCGTAGAGGTTGCCCGTCTGACCAAGGAGAATGCTGATCTCAGAAAACAGGTTGAGGATCTGAAGGAGAGGTTACTCAATGAGAAAGGGTCCGCAAATGCTCGAATGGACATCCTCCTTAGAACTCTTGCCACTTCATCTCTGCCTCCCCCTTCCAGTGCTCCTTAAAATCGTTTCCTTCCCAGTGTCAAGTTCAAGTTGTCTGTCCTCTATTTTGGTCTCCTTTGTTTGTATATGTTTAGTGGCTGGTATTTTTTTGTTGTTTTATTTTGTGGATGATTATGTAACAAATGGCACTGCTTCCTATTTATTTCCAAAGTTAATGAATATCCCATTCTTTTGCTATGCATACTTTGCTCTTCTGCTCTGGTTTAAGTCATGCTTGTGTGCATACATGTGGCATGAGTTAAGCTTGCTTGACTTCTTTTTTCTTATTACTTGTTACTAATCTTTTTATGATGCCAAAAGGGAGAAAAGTAATTGAGGGGGAACAAAGGGGGAAACATGTTCAGGGGGATTAGGAAATTGTTTTTGGTACTATTTATGGTACTCTGGTTCTCAGGGGGAATTTTAATTATAAGTTTGTCATCATCAAAAAGGGAAAAATTGATAAGTTATGTGTCATGTTATATTTTGATGATCTAATAAACTTAATGTTAAGAACCAGATGGGGAACCTGCTTTACATCCTCAAAGTGCTCAAGATCAACAAGTCTCAAGTCTGGGACATGTTCCAACACTCAGAGTCAAAGAAACAACAGAGGGAACAAATGGACATCAGTTCCCTTGCTGACTGTACTGGTCAAACCCCACAGTTATAAAGTCGCAGCAACTGTTTCTCTGCATACGCAACAGTGCAAACATTGCACCAATCACTTTATGGGGAATGCCTTTGTACTAAACATGATTACATCATTCAAGTGATGTCACTTATGTAATATTAACATGAAGCAAAGGCAAAACATCACACCTGCACATTCTAGAATTCATCAAACTTTCTCTCAAGTTTGTTTCCAACTTGCAAGTGACATTTAAGGCATCAAGAAAATGAACAATATAACGAAGGACTAGTTTCCTGCATTGAGTTATTATATATCCTTAGTTGTGTTGCACCTTTGTTAAAGTGATTTACTTGTAATTCCTACTTAGCTTAGTTAGAAGCATTGTGTAGGAAACCTTTTGTAAAATCATAAACCTTGTGTTTGTATCTTGGCTAGAGTTAGTCGAGTTGTAAGCTTTGTAATAGAGTTATTACAAAGGGACTTGCAATAGAGTTATTACAAGTTAGTAAGGGATTAAGAGGTTAATTCCTAGGTTACAATAGTTTGTAATCTAAAGTTTTCTCAGTAGTGAAGTTGAAATCCTACGAGTGTAGGTCGTGGTTTTTAATCCCGTGAGATGGGAGTTTTTCATGTAAAACTCTATTGTGTTATTTACTTACTGTTGTGTGTGTGTGTGTTCTGTGAAAACTAATAGAGAACCTAGTTCTCTATATAGTTTGGTGAACTCTTAGTTTCTATTAGTTCGAAAGAGGATCAAACACAGTTCTAAGGAGACCATATTTTTCTTTATTGAGAACATTTTGCCTCCAACAGGCAAGTAGAGATTTTGTAGAACTTCCCGCTCTCATACAAAATAACAACAACAACAATTGTGCCTTACTCCCAAATTAGTTGACGTCACCTATATGAATTCTCACTTCTCCCTTTAATTAAGCTCAACTCATCCGCTTTCCTAAGTAATACCTCTATCCATACCTTCTTTCATTACAGCTGCAATGATGTTTGCATATTACTAGGATAACAAGGATGAAAATGGAATCCTTTTCATGACGAATAGCACTGAAACACACTTGATATGCTTGAGTTGGGAAATAAATATCTCAATTGTAAATACTTATATTCGAGTGATCTTGTCGTGGATGGTTTAACAAAGTGTTGACCCTGGTTTTTGATATATATATATA